TGAACCTGGACTTACTTGTGATTTCTGATGTGGGATGTATTCTTTTTGTGAAATGAAAATTGTATGGAAGAAAAGAAACTCGGACATCAGACCAAGATAGAATTATACAAGAAAACAAAAATAATGTTTAATTTATGACTTACAGCAATTATGTAGATGTTCAGAACACTTGCTCGATTCACTTTTTCTTTAAAAAGTAGGTAATTATGGTTAAAGTGACACAAGAAGTACTTGTTTCCCATGGAAAAAATTCTGAGCAGGTAGTTGTTGTCATAATTTATCTGCCCTTAGTACAATCCATTGAAATTATGTGATGTTAGCACAATGTTTTTTGTGCAGATTTAAAAGTGTTAATGCTTTGATTTGATTTGACTTTGATGCATTGAGTGTGCAAAGGCCAACTAGTTGATAGGGCAAACCACAGGAAAATTAACAGTACAGTTTGTATTTCATTCATCTCACATGATTGATTTCCCTCACAAAACAGCATTTTGTCCTTCCAGGAAATATCCACACCTAGTTAGAAGGTCTGAAAAGCCACAATTAATTAGAGAAAGTATGAAGCTGAACTGGAAATTCCAGATGGGTGGGGTTGGGGGTTCAAACCAGTAACCTTCTGTGCCATAACTGAAGTTACCCCAGAACAGTTTTGTGTAGGGGTGTGGATATTTCTGGAAGGTGCATTCCACAAGTAATGCTAGTGTTCACGCTTACTGATCCACACTGCAACCTTGTCATAAAAATACAATAATTTTGACGTTTTAGGGGGTCATTTTGACTCGTCCATGAAACTTAAAAATACCACAGGTGCAATCATTAGACCAGCTACATATCTAACTGTGAAATTGTAGATTTGTTGTAGTAATTATCTTGTCTCCAATAATTTGTATTTTCTGTTCTCTGGGAAGGGGGCAGGGTGAAATAATCTCTGAACAGTGATGGGGGTGCTCATCAGATTAAAAAGAATATAAGATATTAGAGTACATTTCTGTGGCATGGTTGAAGCTACCTCAGAGCGATTATTTCAAGATCTATTACTAATTAATGAAAATCATCTACAGTACCACAGTATATAAGAAAAACACAACAATTTTTAACTTCTATAAGTATGACTAGCACCCCCATCATTGCAATACCCCCCACTCCCCACCCCCACAATTCCCTCCCAAGACTTGTTTCTTTGTCAGAAACATTCAATTCAATCTTATTTTCCTAAAATCTTAGTAACTTATTGGCAAAGCTGTTGACCAAAGTTGTTTTCTTTTGTGGGATGCAAAAGAGATTATCCTTCATGGCTTACTAGGCCTTAAATGGTTGAGTAATAAATTATTAAGCTTGGTCTGTCTGGAAGAGTTATTTGTGGAGTATGACCATATTGAACATTAAAATGAACCTTTTGAAGGTTAAAATTACCTGCAGAAAATAATTGTTTTAACTTTTTAATTAATGTGAACACTTAACGCTTCATTGGGTGCTTCTTAACCTGAAACATAAGTCACCTCCCGCCCTCCAAGCTAGGTGCCTCAAATTGAATACTCGAATGTGTTTCACTTGAGATCCTTAGAGTTCATAGTTGCCTGGAAACAAGTACCATGAGGCAACTTCTCGAGCCCTAGGCCTCCTCAACACGTCCCCGACGCCGTATTTAAACATTGCTGGATTTTCTTTACGGTTTGATTCAAATCCAACTATTGTCCAGAATGTGAAAAACCATAACAAAATGTCCAAAAAGTCAATTTCAACACTATTTTTGGTTTGACCCTTGATTATTATGATCAGCTGTGAAGTTGCTAGGCACATTTCCGTCTCGTGGTAGAAATTCTGAGGAAAACGAAGTTTAAAACGACGCACTCGAGCACTGTTCGTCCGTTCAAATGTGCTAGGCTTGGTAAGGAGGTTTTTGAGGGTTGCATCATGTCATTGCTGATGAAGCAGTTATACCTCCTTTGTCTCTGTATCGTGCATTTGTGGTGAATTGTGTTGCGTTTCTGTAAAAGTTGGGCAGTTATTTGTCCTGAAATAGAAAACGAACCGTAATGTTAGCCTCTTCCAAAAAGGAATAGGACCAAGTTCGTAAATGATGTTGAAATATTCAGGGAAGTCTTTTTACACATGCACCCTTGTAGACAGGGCTCGGCGCTTTAAATTGTGCTATATTTCTGATGTTTGTGTTCAAATTGCGGAGGTTTCGCAATCAGTTTGCACCATTCAAGTTCGTCCCGAGATCTCGACCGAGTCATCTGGGACCTCGGGCTAGAAATTGCTATCACTCTCAAGGTAACTCACTGAGAACTGGTAGTTAAGTTGGAGTCTGGTAGACTTTGTTACTAACTATCGCAGTTTATTTTTTAAAAATCTTACGGTTTACATCAAGATACATTAAGATGAAGTAGACAGCGAACTCGGTCGACCTCAAAATAGTGTGATGCGAACTCTGTCCGCGCAAACTTCATTGGTCCTCATTGGGTGCACCTGAAGACCTTTCAGCAAGACCTCTAGCTACCTTGTGTTCATAACATAATGCAGCTAAATGAAGACACTTCCCGCACAGGAGGCAATCCAGTGCAGTGAGAAACTGTAAGGTAGCAAACAATATATAGACTTACTTTTTATGAGTTGTTATAAGATTTGTTGGGTTGCTGTTTCCATCGAGGGAAGTTGAGTCCGGGGTCGAAGTTGAGGGAAGTTGACTCGCCTGTGTATCGGGGCCAGCGATTGCTGGTTCATCGACAGCTGACTGATCCGAAGACTTCTCCGACATTGAGGTCTGTGTCCCTTTACAATAAGAATTTTTTTTACCTATTTAATGATTTAGAGTTCGAAATACATGAGAAAAATAACAACGCCGCCTCAACTCGCACCTTCACCTTCCGCACTTTGCTTGATCACATGTTTTCGCGGGTTGGAGGCTTTTCGCCTCCTGTGAAAATTCGAACTTGGAAGAGCACTTGAAACCTCTATAGGTGATCTACAAACAAACGACAGAACAATTTGATAAACAGTATTTAGCACCCTTAAAGTAAACAAGTCAGCAAGGGCACATACACATAACTTACGTTCTACGAACTTCCTGTGACAGCAAATACTCCGCGAACGCACTGTCACTACGCGCTTCAAACCCTGCGATGAATTTCACCTGAAGCCACGATTGAAATATATTCTTTTCTAGGTAGATGCGTTTGTGGCATCTATGCCACTCCTTCCTAGCGTCTTTTCCATCGACAAACTTTCGCTTTCTACCTGAGTTTTGCCTTCTCCCTCCATGGCCGCTTCCAGTGGTCGACGCCATGTTGAATTTGGCGAGCCAAACTTGAAATCTTTTGCCCGAACATTTCAAGTGTACGCATGCGTATACAATGATGTTAGTCAATTTCGTTCCCAGAGCCTGTTGGACGCGTTGTAAAGTTCACAACACGACGAATTCATTTGTGTACATCTAACCTACAAAATATGAAAAATTTGAAACAACTCTTGAAACTATACCAATCGTCGTCTGTTTCATCCAGTTGAAAGCTATATAGACTTTTTGCTTACTAACTGAGCAGGGTATGCTAAGTGTCCCATGCCACTAAGCTGTGCTCGGTGATGTGGGGGGGGGGNGGATACTCTGTAAATCTTTGGGTTGGGGAAAGTCGCTGGGACACCAAAACCCTTACCCTATACTAGACCATGAATAGCTTGATTCTTCAACCCTATTCTATGCTAAGCACCAAAAACCCTACTCTATCTCAGAGTAGCTATTTTAAACTTCATCACTATTGTAGTATAACGTACACCAAATAAACCACTATCATACAAATTGAAAGTCACTCTGAGTTTTGATTGCTAATATAGAACCCCCAGTGAAGAACCTGTTTTGGACTAAATTATTTATTCACTGCCCACTTTCTTGATAAATAAATTATATACCCTATTCTAGACCAGAACTTTCTGAATTCTATACCCTCTCCCAGACTAAACTGGCTGAAAACTATACCCTTCACAGTGGCACATACGTTTAGATATATTAGGAGCCTATGGGCTCCTGGCTATATATCTTATATATGGGAGTACCCCCCCTAACGGAGGGGGAGGGGGTGGTTAGGGCTGCACCATCTGTGGAATCACTGTTTAGAAAAACTAGTTGGTGATGGTTAATTTCCCTGAGTCTGCTTTCCTTTTGATTAGCACCTGACCAATATTAGTATCACAGCCTATGAAGACAATGCTTTCTGTTGTTGATTGTCAGTACTCCCATGTGAAAGGATATGCATGGAGAAGGGCATGCTCCTCGCTTTTGGGGGTATAAATTGCAAATTACACTTGGTCATTCAGGTAGCAGTTAAGGATGTATGCAGGGACATGAAAAAAAAAATCTAAACAAAGCAAACAATCAAGCTTAGGAAATCTGCTCTGCCAAAAATACTTTTCCCACCTCAAGTTTACAGCATGTCTACATCCATTTTTACCCCTGAACCTGTAGCATTGAGCATTTTAAGGAGTAAAATAATTTTGAGGATTGCTGTTAAAAATTCAAGAAAATTTTAAGAAAATATTTTAACTTGTATAACTTGTAGCTATAAACATTGTTTTAATGTTTTAGTAGAGTCAACATCAAACACAACTTTGAATGTATACCACTGATGTTCCTCCCTGACTGCAAGTTTAGCATTTTTTATCTTTTTTTCCATATTTAAGGACTTTTCAAGCAAACCTTGCAATGCTAAAATTATATTTTCATTAGATGTGATAATCACAATGCGACAAGCATTTTAAAATGGAAAACACGTTAGTACAGAGTTTTGGGAATTAAAGGTGTTTGTGCGAAATTACCCTGTCCTCAGTCTGTGGGGATGATCAAAAAAGTGGGCAGGCAAGGATCTGGGAGAGAAAAGGAAAAGGCACTGAAAACCTGCCTGATTTTCAATCTTTCACACTGATGGGGAGCCTGGAAGTTAAAGCTTATTCAGTTAAGCATAACACCCACTACAGGGTTCTGGGGAAGCTGCACAAACTTTCCAGGGTTGAGAGTGGACTGGGCTGATCAAAACAGTTTATTTATCAGGCAGGTTTTTTCAACTTTATTAATACAATTTAATTTCACTCCTATAAAATCATTATTTGTAATGTTATAATGCAACGGCAATGGTCAAATCTGCTGTAAACTTACCTCTACCCGATATAAAAATATCAAAGCAAAACTTAAGGTTAAAATAAACTTCACAGGCCTCAGAGGAGACAAACAGGCTCTGTTTGTAACTAATGTAAACTATGTTTTAGTGAGAATTAAATCATATTATATCATATATCATTGACGAGTGCAATTTTAAGTGAATTTGAATATTTGAGCAATGCAGAGGATTTGTATAGAAAATGTCACAGGAGTGTCTTGGTCTTTGGTAACTTTTTCCATACAAATCTGTAGTAAGAATTCAATAGTAGATCACATGACCCACAGGGCCTGCTGTACAATGTAATTACTTGAATAAGTGCTGCTCTTGAGTAACATCCACTCAAGACAGTAAAAATATGTTAAGTTTATAAGGAAACAAAGGTAGTTCTTATTCCAAGAAGCTGATGCCATATTGCAGATGGAAAATGTAATAGCAACATTTTAAGCTGAGCTTTTATCAGTGTTGCCAACAAAATATGAATTTTGTTTGATTGAATAGTGTTTCTTAAATTAGGAGGTCACTCCAAAAAGCTTACTTTTTTGTCTTCACCTATTGCAAGTTAAAACATTGGGTTTTTCGAGTCACCAAAGTTTCAGCCTCTAAAGTGCCTGCTATTCTGAAGAAACTCATCACAGCAGAAGCCCAAAATTTGACTTTGGAGGCCAGGCCGTGTTTATGTGGTGTCATTCCGTCTGACTCAAAATTGGCGGGAAGGAGAAAAACCTGTAACTGATTTTGCATCCTTCACAAGGTCAATAAAATGTATTTTTTTCCAAGTGATTATCTACTTCACTATCTTCACTGCTGTCATTTTCGCAGTTTGGCTCAAAATAATACAACTCAAGAGTGGCCATAACGAAGAATGGTAGTTAAAAGACTTGTCGGAAGACATTTGGATAAATCTCTTGGACTGAATGCATCACAAAAACACAGCATGGCTGCTGAGTACGGTTCAAAATGGTGGCAATGATGTTGAATTTTGGGCTTCTTTGGAGATGAATTTCATAAGGAAAACCTGCACTTCAGAGGCTGAAATTTTGGTGAGTGGCTAAACTTAGTGTGAGGTTTTTATTAGCGTTAACAAAAAATATATGTTTTTTGGAGTGACCTTCTCCTTTAATAAGTTCTTGTTAAGTGCCACCTTCAAATAAGGGTCACGTCAAAATGTTGCGGTGCTCTTTCAGGTCCGATGTAAGGTATTTGATGGCACAAGGATTGGTAAATTCATTTTGTCGATTTCAATTGCCTCCAGTGAGTCCTATGATGCTTCCACTGAATTTTATTAACGCGTATGTATGATTTCCCTTAAAGCCTTCCCAGGAATAACAGTTCAATTAAGTACAAGAATAGACCAATCTAAGCTAACACAATCAGAACATTATTTAAAAAAGCCCAGCAGTAAATCTCTGTAACAATATGAAGAAATCAACAGTAAAACTATAAATGTCCTGGAATGTATACTTGTGGTTAAAAACCACTGTGTAGCACTGTTTGCCTTGACTGTGTAGTGGTATAAAACTGCAATAATATTTAAACTTCTACTGCTTAGCAGTAATGCAAGATTTTCAAGTTAACTTTGCAGAAATCTCTAAAAATTATAATTTTTTTTCTTGCATTTGTGTATGAAAAAAGCAAGTGTATAACTTTGAGAGTTTTAATAGAAAATGACCGTAAAAGATTTCAATGTTAAGATTAAAATGTCTCATTAAATGCTTCCTGAGAGAGTTGCTACATTAATAATTATAAGATCTAATGAAAGCCGTTTTTGATTGGAGCACCAGCTAGTACGCTATGAACAGATGAGAAATTATAACAGTCTCGGCAGACAGCCATGTATTTATCAGCTCCGCCTATGACCTCAACCTGAAAACAGAATCATCAAAATTAGTCACAGACAGCAATAATTGAGTAGACTGGCCATTTACCAAAAAAATCCTGCACAAAAAGAGAGAAAAAGAAAGAAAAAAAAGTGAGTGCAAACAATGGGCACCAAAAATATGTTTAAGAGATGCAACAAAATTGTTTATACCATGCCATAAAAATACAGCCAATTAGTGTTTTTTGTCCTACCTTTTTCTCCTCACCCAATCTTTTTGTAAATGCAGCATCTTTAAAGCAATGCATGCAAACTGCATTAAGTTTGACAACACTTTCTGCTAGGGGAACAAGATCCAGTACCCTGCCAAAGGCCTGTGAAAGTGAGAAAAATACCTTAGTGAAGAGTTTATAAATGGATATTTTTATTAAAATATAATAAAAAATCTGACAAGGTTAGAAACATCAACTGGCAGGAGGCAAACCAGTTGGCTTTTTACAAATGTGACTGAGGAGTTAAACTTGGGTATCACGTGATACAACTCCAGCTACGGCTGGTGTAAGACTTAAACCTGTGAGCTCCAGATATCAAGTCCGACACCCTAACCACTTGGCATTCAGCCCCCTCTACATTGACAACTCATTGAGCTTGTTCTTCCTCTTTTAGCATACAATATTACTCCGCTATCAATTTGAAAACAATACAGTCAAACCTCCACTAAGGACCACCTCTCCACAATAGCCACCTGTCTACAACAGTCACTGTTTTTGTCCTGGTGAACAGTCCATACATTCACTCTTGTTTCAACCTCTTTACAACAGAAACCTTTCCACAATGGTAACAGCCACTAAAGCATATCCCAACTGCCAAAATAACCTCTAAACAATGGCCAGTTAATCAGCAACTGAATTACAAAACCCCTTTGTTAAGTGTGAAAGGTCACAAATATTGATTTGGATTGTGCACCACTGGTCTCTGTTTTTGTTTGGTTTCTGTTGTAATGATATATTTTGATACTACAGTAGGCATTTTTAAACAGTACTACAAATGTTAAACCTGCTGAAAAACACAAGTGTCACATTACACCCCTATCTCTCGACAACGGCCACTTTCCTCTGTCCCCATGGTGGCCATTTTGGAGAGGTTCTACTGTATATTAATCCTCAAGTCATTTGCAGAACTTCCAGCCATATACTCACTCTTCTTTGAAATGTTCCATCTAACGCAGCAATTATTACAGTTTTCCCAAGACCAGCCATTTCTTCTGAAAACTCCACAACATCTGGAAACTAAGACAGAAATGTGATTGGTAATCAATCCTTGTCTTTTAGTTAACCTTCAAAAATGTATACTTGTATCCACAGTGACATTTTCATCAAAAATTATAAAACTTCAGAAAAACTTACAAACTGGCCTTCATCAATTCCTAAAACAGAATAATCCATAGCTTTACTCTTAATGTGATCTAACACTGAGCAAGCAGAGGCTCTAAGCGTTTGTCTGTGAGTAACAACAAAATAAAATCAATTATTACAACTCATTACGATCAGTTATACAATTGCATTATTATCAGGTAAGTTCAGTTGAATGAGTTCACATGAAAAAATAAAAATCACAAAAATGAGAGAAGAGGACAAGGGAAGAGTAGGAGAGGGGGTGGGGGTGGGAAGGTAATTTTACTAGGAATCTCTCAGCTGGAAAATTACTCGGTTCAAATATTTACCCAGTGAAGAAATCATTATTTTCCCTGGGGAACTCTGGGATTAGATTTTCTTTACAAATTCCTTTTCACAAGTCTAAATTTATTTGTCATAAACTCATAAACTTGCCATATGAAAATACTGAAATACATTGTTGTTGTTGTTATATAAAAGTTAAGTTGAGCTCTTAGCTCTGAGTATGGGGACCTTTTGCTGAATTTCAAATGAAATTTGACGCTTCTTTTCCTATTTTCTCTTAAAAATTCAATTTATCCCGATCGATTGAGCACCTTTGCGAAGCTTACAACAATACTGATTTCCAGATAGAAAGGCACGAACTTTACGTGAGCTTATATCATTTTTTTTTTCTTTACACAACCCCAAAAGCTTATTAGTTTAAATTTAAGTAAAGGTCCATTCATTCATTTATTCATTGATTCTCATCTTGCAAGTATAGATCTTCTCACCGAATGACGGTCATTTCGCTCCATGATTAGGTCGCTCCAATAAGTCAGTTCGCTCCAACCAGAAGTTAGATAGCTCCACACAGGCCGAGTTCGTTACCTCAGCTAACCAAGTTTGGCTTGGCAGTGGATGAAAGAACGAGAAATAATCTGTATGCCCGTTTGAGCGAACTGACTTGGAGCGTTCTAACCATGGAGCGAAGTGACCGGATACCTTCTCACCTATCGTGTGTTGCTACACCGTCCATGTCGTAGCGGTTATCTTTCTCGTATTTAATCACCATACAGGAATGGTTGGCTACTTGGTACCGCTTGATTCTTCTGAGCAGCTCAGTTCTGAAACACAATCGATTTCGAACAAAACACGTGTGAATATCGCCAATAAAACGGCATCCAAACATACTCTTTGTAAATGCACTGCACATCTATCAATAATATAATGCATTTGCTGGTAAAAGGTAATAGCTATTTACGTACGTTTTTCCCGAAAACATTGGTCCGAAGATGACCTACAAGATAAGTCAAGGATACAAAGGGTTAGCTTGTAAATTAACATGAAACACAGCAAAATTCGCCATCTTGGGCATCACATCACCTGAATTTGACCTCTTAAATTCATAACACTGTGGACGTCCATCCCTGGGATTGTTACCAAAGACATTTTACAAGTTTTTGTAGCTTGTGGTTTGCAAATCGTCGTTGATGAGGCTTTCGTTAGTGAGGACAGCGCGCCAAAAGATTTACAAAATTCGCGCCTAAACATCATGATCAACCAACCGCTGGCAAACTGTTTGCCCAGTCCTCCCGGATGTACTCGAACGAAAGAAACTGGTAAAGAGTTTATGTGGTTGCCAAGCAGTAACAAAGAAGAAAAGAGATCCAGTGCAGAGACCAAAATATGGCGGATTCAAATCAAGAGAATTCTGTGAGTATTTCTGTCGCGATTTTTTAGCATTTGATGGAAATATTAGCGAACGTTGTTGGGTATAACTTGGTAGTGTTTTCTGTTTTCTTAGAAATTAGGTTCAAACGTTCACAGTACTCTTTTACACCAAGTACAACTTTTCTTTTCAAGGCCGCGATTGGCCGGTCTCCTTTAAAAGTTCCATGTCCTAATAAAGTACATGGATTTTTTTTTATGCTTCTACAAGCAAACGATTGAGAGAGAATTGCTTAAAGAGTGCAGTTTTAATAAGGCACCGCTACATGCTAACAGATGCACCTCAGATCAAACAATTCACTCAATATTCTACCTCTATTTGGACGGAATTTTGCCCCAGAAAGCCTTCGGGTTAACATATATTTTCAGGAGGTCTTATTGATCAGAAATACGAGGTACAGCTTATCTTCAGAAGTCTTCGGCTATACATTGATTTAAAAATGGAAAATGATATTACAGATAGTTTTGCAAAGGGGCCTCTTCTCTTCAGTTCTTAATTTTACTGTATCTGTCTTCTGCACTCTACTCAATTGACAATTTTACAATAACTGTCTAATTTCTCGTACGCTGATTGGCTCATTTTTATCATCAATAAAAATTTTAATTTATGCAGCTTTCAAGTTTAACTTTCAGCTGTCAAACTGTCAAATTTTTAACCAATGAGATTTTATGGACTTTTTTAAGTAGCCAATCAAAAAGCGAGAAAAGCTATTGACAATGTTCGCGTCATTTTGAAGAAAATTCACTTATCTTTGTTTATGGCAGGTTTACGGCATCTTTTCCCCTCATTTATTCCTGGCATTTGACCATTTTGGGGTCTTGCTATTGTAGAAAACAAATTGATGTCAGTTTTTTATGAGTCTGTCCTCTTAATGATGATAAATTTTGTCATAACATTGTCTTGGCCGGGCTGTGGGCAGGGCAGGTTTTGGGGTGTTCTACTTACCTGTGCGAGGGGTTGGTGGCTCCAGCGCCCAGATCCGTGGGCACCCAACCTCCATGTGTGACTTAGGTGTTAACATGCTTTCCTTCTTTGTTGATAATTCATGTAAACTATGTACATGTACTGTGTTCATCAGATGTTATGAGATACGATGAGATGGAGTTTGATGAAGAATCTGAGCCAGAGATTCCTCTCTACAATAGAGCAGAACTTATTGAGCGCTATCAGGTATTGATCAGCTGACTTTCTTCTGAGGTGCTACATAAATTAAAAAAAAGTCATTTTTTACCAGTTTATCAACTTTATCCTTGATTACTGTTTCTAAATTTAACAATTAAAAAAACTTGACTGTACTTTGACGACTTTTAAAAGACATTTTTCTTTCTAACTTATGCCACCTTCTGATGATCCTATACAATTTCTTTTAAATTACAAGTAATTGAAAAAGGATGGCTGTCAAGATAATAGAACAAATATTAAAGATGGGGAATATTAATAAGTTCAGTTACAAATAAAAAACTGTATTCACTTTGAAACCAAAGGGATGATGTGCTTACTCTCTCAAGGCTGGTCTCATTCAGTCCTGAGAAATGCCCCTGGGGGAGCAGGGCAGCCTTCTTTCCAGAACAGTAGCTGGTGATTGAACCCAAATGGGCAAATGATCTATCTTTTGTACTTGTCCATCAGGATTCATAATAAGTTTTGGCAATATTATTTAATTTGTGTTATATTGTGTTAAATCATGTTTTTCTTGTTGCTTAATTTTTTGCAGCAAGCTTTAGAGGAGAGATCAAGTTTACAGTCATTAAATGCCCAGCTTCAACACAAACTGGCTGAGTATTTCAAGAAGAAAAAGGTATAATATTTTTTTGAAGATACGTACGTTATCAGGAAAAGAGTTTTGAGAAAGTTCCAAGCAAAATTTGAATCCTAAACCAAAATTGCTTATTATAGGTTCTATTTGCTTTCAGAGTGATGAGCGTCAGCAAGAGATAGAAAAGAATGTAACTGACCAAGAACAAAGATATCTCAAATATATGTGTAAGTGTTAAAAGCAGAATTTAAAGTTTGATGAGTATGTGGGGCTCCATTAGGGGGATGTCTGATTATCCCACATCCTATTAATCTTTGGTCTAAATTCCTACATCCTGTTACTTCCAGTATGGCAAACCTTTATAACTATATCCCATTTTATCTGATCTGAATATCTCCATTTATTTGCCCCCAAATTTCCTGTAATCTGCATTTTTTTTTTTACCTCAATATATCCCATATCCTGAAAACCCCAAAGAAGACCTTATAATTTGTTCAAACTGCTCAAGTCATTTAGTTATTCTTATTCTGAGTAGTATTTTTACCTATTTAAGTAATATTGTTTTATGCTGAACGGTAATATTTATCTTTGGCAAAATAAAATGGTTGTGGTTGTTGCTAATATTTGCCTGTGTAATTGGTGGTTTAGTTTTTTGTGTAATGGGGCTTAATGAAGTTTAGGCAAAGTTAAAAGTACATCCTCGTGCAGTACTATCCAACACATGAAAAGCATGTAAAAGATGTACATGATGTGTGAATTTATGGCAAAAACCAGGATTGTATTTGTTAAATGTAGCTTAAAGTATCTGTGCTTAAAAAGGGATTGCAACCCTTCTCCCCCTTGCTACCCTCTCCTTCCATTCAGTCTATTAGGCCATTGTGCTGTTTATGTACAGCATAGCTAATGAATGTCTGTTTGTTGTGTTAGCAAATCTTGAAGAACTTCAGAATGAAGAAAGACGCGAAAAGGAAAATTACAAGGACCAGATTGAGGATTTGAAAGCAAAATGTCAAGAAAAACAAGAAATTGTCAACAGATCCAGGTTTGTTTAATGTACTCTTGCATTGCAGAAATATAACTGAACAGCTACAAAACCGGCTGCTGTTTGGGAAAGGAGTCTGCACTCCCCACCCCACCCCCCACACCCGAAGGCAAGAACGTAAACTGTACTTGAGAGAGCAGCGGAAATCGAGTCTACAAAAGATGAGGACTACTTGTTATA